GAGAGAGAGAGAGAGGACGAGCGAGGGAGAGGAGGACGAACGCGCGCGTTCTGCACACTCCGTTACACTTACTGGTAAACCGTATTAATCAACGACATCATGGTTTATCCCCCATTCCTCTCCGCCTCCGCGCATCTACCTTCCTTAACCCTCCCCCCTGCCGCCCCGTCCTCCTCTCGTTCCTGCTGCTTCCTCACTTCCGCCCCCTTCTCGGCCCCTCTCTTGCCACCACCGCCGATGGACTCCATCGCGATCTATAGCGAAACGCGCACCGACGTAACCTTACAGCACCCTTGCGCTCGGCGTGGCGCGCGAGATGAAAAGCGAGACGGAGAGAGCGCGGCGGGAGATGGAAGGGATTAGGGGGAGGGAGGAGGGAGAGTGAATCAAGGCGCCGGGCCACTTTGGGAGAGGCGATCGACGCTTAACGATGTCTCTCGATACCCATTACGCGGCTAGCCGGGATTCAACGAGCCGGTACCGTCGTTCTCGCGTCATTGTGTGCGAAGAGGGCAGACTGGCGCTCGTGGAAAAATCCGATTGATCCCCCGATACCCTATCCTCGATACGTTCTTTCCTCGTAACTTGACGGAACGGCTGGGCGGATTTTGCGGATACTCCCTCTCTCTCTCTCTCTCTTTCCTCCGCGCGCCCGGTCCTTTACAATTCAGACAACGCGCGCGGAACATCTCTTTTACGGCGGACGCGATCCTTACGATGAGGCGAATAAAACAACCGCGATCGGCTATTGGCACGAAAGGAAACGAGCTCCGCGAAGATTCGACGGTAAAATGGCATTCTGCTAAAGAAGTAAAATCGAATCCGTTACTTGAAAAAATATATTAACCGAGTCAGAAGTTGGACAAATATTTGCGAAGATAAAAGAACTTTAATTTTTATTTTGTCTAAATATCAAAGTTTTTTATATTACAAAAATCGGCATTTACTCAAGACAAGATTATTTCCTAAGAAATATTGAATTTTTTATCTGCTTGCTAAATAATCAATTCAGCATTATTATAATCGACTCTTAATAAAAAAATTTTATCACTTTTCACAATGGAAGCAAACAGATTCATTAAAATTTCTCATTAACTCTGTAATTAAGTATCTTATCGGCAATTTTGGACAGTCGCCGGACATATTTCGCTACAAACTACTGATTTCAAATGCGAGAGCGAGAAAGAGAAAAAATGCTACAGATATTAAGATTTATTCTCTTTCTGATTTTCCTGCAAAATTGGTTTCCTCGACAAAATGCCATTTTGCTTCGCAAAACTGGATTCAATCTCAATCCGCCGGGCGTGGGGAGGAGGATCGTTTTAATCGGGCCCGAGTAACTGATTTTCGAGTATCACGAGATTCACGCTTAGCGGAGAGAAGATGGTTGTGAAGCTGCCTGACGCCGGTAGACAGTGATTAATACCGCGACGTCGTCTGGCGTCTCTCTCCCGAGTGCCTCTTCCTCCCCCGTCACCCCCAGCCGCCAATGCATGCGTGGGGTCGTGCGCGAGAGGGCGTGCTCCGTTCACCCCTCTTGCTCTCGCTCTCTCTCTCATCCTGCAACCCCTTGCCTTGTCGCCCCTGCGCCGTCCCCGAAGCGCACTCCGCGGTAAAAGGTTTTACGAAATTCATTGTCAGGCAATTTGCATGTCAAAGCCGCTGAGAAACGCGGCGGAGGGACTCGGCAGCGGCAACGGCGGCAGCGGCAGCAGCAGCAGCAGCAGCAGTAGCAGCAGCAGCTACGTTCTACCGTCGAGTGTCTGTCTCTACTCTTCTTGGGCTTCGCCGCGCCACCGCGTCGCCACTTTCAGCCTGATGGAATTAGGGGAAAAATAAGGCCACTTTGCGCGCGCGACGCCGCGAACGAAGGCGATTGTTTATTAGGCGGCTCGATCTTTCGCTCTCAGCGCAGCATCATCCTACGGTGCTAATGATATTCTTCGCGGTATCTTCAACTAAGATTGTTCGTTACAATAATAATAATAAAGTACTAAAGTAATTATAAAATAATATATATCGTGATAATAATGATAAAAATAGTCTCTACATTCACGATAGATTGCATTAGTGGTGCCTGCTAGATTTACTTCTAATACGCTGAACAATTTAAGCCGCATATTTCCGTCTATTATTCTTTAACAAGAAGAAGAATATTAAAACTGATGTTCCAATTTTCATCTTAAAAGCTCTCCAGTATCTTTCTTAACTTTTCCGCAGACTCTCTTATTCTTCCTCGCAAGAAAACGTTTTAACGTGATTAAAGCTCGAAAATGAAAAGAAAAAGGGAGAAAAATTTATCCCCAGCCTTCAATGGATAACAAATAAATTTTCCTGGTACTATTTTATGCATCTTTCACTTAGTATTCCTTTTCTTCTGGCTTTGATGTAAATAAATAAAAGAAAGAACGGTGCAAACTATATTGACGTTGACACAATTTGCGACGCTAATAACATATACGCCGTTAAAACGAAAGCTCCGTCGGACAAAGAGGTGGAAGAGAAGAAAAGCAGAGGAACCGAAGAGCCGGGTGATCCTGGATCCTCCTACGATATAACGCCTTATAAAGAATAAAGCCACGGGCGAGGGCGAGCGGAGAATTTATTGAGGTTGTCTGGCGAAACTAAGGGGATCAGGAGCCGCAATGATTTTCAATTTTCGAATCCACTTCGCGGCCGTTCCTTCGTTCTCCTTCGACTCGGCGGAGAGATCAGATCGACATATCTGGTTCACGTGTAACGTATACAGGATAGACGTAATCCCGCCCGCGGGAAAAACTCGTTCTCTCGCTCTCGCCCCGTTCTATCCCCCCGGCGCGGATTTCGTTCGCGTGGTTGTTAGAAGCGCGCGGCGGTATCGGCATCGCGTTCAACTGCCATCGATCTCATTTATCCCGTTGGTCTAATTTATTTTCTACACAGTAATCTTAATTGCGCAATCGAAGAGCTTATTTTCAAATCACCGACAATCCACATTTTAGAGATCGTGTGTTTTCCAAACTTCCCATCGCTTTGGTGAGATAATCATTTTTCAGGAATCACAAAGGTAAAATTATTCTCGTGCAGCAATTTTAAATGTGCTGAGAGTAAAAACATTTCTGAGAAATAGAAGAATGTACGAGCCAATGATTATCTCATGGAAAATATAATCACTAACATAAATTATGCATAATTGAAGAGATAGAAGCGGAAAAAATGATTTAATTGACAGTATCTCGTGGAAAAGCGTAAGATAATAAAAGAAGATAAAGTTAATTGCTTCGCGCGTTCACTAGTCTTGCTATTTTCGTTTATTAATTGTTATCCTCTGTTTCACAATATATTGTGATTGGAGAACAAAAGATTTATCAGTCTCGGAACAAGACGGACAGTGTCGAGGATTTTTCGAATACCGCCGCTGCAACGGGGCCGAAAATAAAGCGAAATGCTAAACGACGGTTCGATCGGCGGCACGTGGCGGCCGGTGCCGTGAAAGGCGAAGACGCGAAAATGATCGGGGAGCGGCGCGGTCCCTAATGGAATTATAAATTCAATACCGGCCGGCGCAGCGCACCTGAGTCTGTTTCCTGGTATTCGGGTAGATTTTCTCGCTCTGGGTGCAGTCGCGCGTGTGTGCGGGATGCGTGGCGTGTATACCCGTGGAAACTCGTAGGTAGGTAGCAGCATATGTATCGCCGCCGCCGCCGCCGTAATTGCCATCCTAATAATTGTCACGGTGTACGCGCGCATACCGCAGCCGCGCTCCTGCTGCGTCCTGCGCCGTGTGTTTCCGTGTAAATGATGGCCCGCTATCCAATCTACGCTCATCGAACGAAACCGCGTAACCGGCCGAAAATTAGTCGCGTATGTGAGAGCGTGCGCGCGTGTATGTATCGCTCGCATGAATCACTCGCAGCGCGTTTCTAATCGCGGATATTATTATCGCGCGAGAGATGCTCCATCGAACGCGCTGGACGAGAATCAATCATCGATGAAAGTGAGACAGAAGCGGAGCGACTATTTCGTCGAACTCTTTCAATTTTCTCAGATTTTTGAAAAACGCATGGATGTTTTTCCTCGTTAATTCCTATTTTGCTATATTAAACTTGAATTATAAAAATTATCGCGTTTTAATATTTCAAAATGAATATATTTTATGTATGAAAAAAAGAGCGGAGGGAAAGAAAGTTGTCATTTGGTTCGTTACGTAAAGAATTCATGTCGATGGCGTAATATCTGATAATTGAATACTTATTGTGCGATTGCGCGGCGATGCGAGTGAAGAAGAAAATTAACAAACTTGTTAATTCACCACTATACTTGCATATTCATTACTATTACATATTATTACATAAAATCATGTGAATTATTAGATACTTGATAAACTCGTTGGATGTAACGAATATGGGAATGCGAATATTATTAGAGTTAGTAGAGCAAATAAACATCGGTAAACCCGTAAAATAATCGAATCGAATTAGCAATTATGCCAATCAAAACTGTAAAGGAAATCGAGCGGTTCAATGATAAACCGATGCAGCCAACAAGTAAGTAAGTAAAGAGTCTCTTTTAAAAACATGAAATTCTGCCGTCTCTTTTTTACGAGTTACAACGTGCGAACGACGTGCCGTCGTATTCAACGTTGTCACATTTCCGCATCTAATATTATCTTCGCTTCCGTCGTATACTCTGGTGTGCGCAAACGACATACCGGAATTCGAAATGCGCTCGCGAATACTCGAATATTTCCTTACGCGAAAATTGATAATTGCTATCTCATTGCTCGCGGCGAATCAATCCCGCGCGCATACATCCCTATCCTCAAGTACATGCACGCGTCAGGTCGTATCCTTCACTACGGTTGTATTATCGAGATTGGGCTCACCTCCTTCTGCCCCCCGCTCACTCCCTTACCAACCGGCCATCACCCTCTCACACCCTCTGCCTCTTTCCCTCCCACCTTCTCTCTCTCGCTCTACGGTTCTGTAGCCCCAATCACACCGGCAGCCGCTAAGTGCGATCCATTACGCGTAATGGAATGCGCCAATTATAACATTTGCTGAATAATTGGCGGACGCTCGGCTGCGCCTGCCGATGGTGCAGGCCGGCACACAGGGTATATACGCAGAGGTGGCTGAAAGGGATAGCGGGAATGGGAGGGAAGGGGGGGTGGCCGCGTGGGTGGATGCTTGTGTGATGCCCCGCTCGATACGCGTGCACACACGTACGTACGCAACACGCGCCTACACACGCGCGCGGCACGGCAAACATCAAATAAATCATTTAATAAATTTTGCGGAAGTGATGGTGGTGGTGATGGTGGCGGCGGAGGTGGTGGTGGTAAACTCTAAAAGGCTAGTCCGTTATTTCGCAGTGACGTCCGCGAGCGTCGCCGATGACTATACAGTTGTTTGTTTCTTGTTTTTTTTTCCCCGATGTGACACGTAAGGGAATTAAATGGTACTTAATTTGCTGGGATTTTTATTTATTGGTAACGAAATGCGTTTCACGATGTTACTTTTTGAAAAAAATATCGATACGTTGCAAAAAAAGAGACAAGTAAAAACGTAAAGAGAAAGAGAAATTTAAATGGAGAAACGCAAACTGAAGCAAAAAAAATTGAAATGAGATAACGCAGCAATGCAATTAAGATAATTAATAAAAAATAATATAACAGCGGTAAAATATGAGTAATGACCTGTCATAAAAATGAATAAAAATGGCACAAGTATAAAAGTCGAAAGCAGAAAAATAAGCAAAAATGCAACGAAAAAAATAAGATGAAACTATGGTAAGAAATTATTCTTTGTAATATAATTTCTTCAAATTGTGAATAATGAGCGGATTATTTTACGAGGAGTCTGCAAAATATGTCAATTAAGCATAGAAAGGCAAAGATAAACAAGAAGTTACGACCAATATCACGTTTCATTAAAAAAAAACCGGGACTATATTAATAATCTATATTAAAACTACGGTATTCCTGCCGTATATTTCTACAATATTAAATTAAAAATATATTTTTTATACATACGACGATTCTATAATAAATACTTTTATAGAATGCGCGCATCGTTCAATTTCTCGCTGACTCTGAAAATATTACGCGTGTTTTAAAACATATACGCTCCACTAGTAGCGTGATTTTTCAATTATATCAATTAACTCTTCAAACATTTACATCGCTCGAGACTCAAACTTCCGCACGCTTTTTTCGTCTCTCCCCCCCTGGGCTCTCTTTCCGCAGATCTCGCATCAACAGCGCGTAGATAAATTTGACGCGGATTTGTACAAAAAGTCGACCGTTACACAACAAAATCCGATCTCAAAGCGTCAAAGAGCGCGGGCGCGATTAAGATCCTCATGTGAAATTGATGCTAATTGGTTAATCCGGCCGTATTACGGCGAGTAAATGAAACGTCCGTATTTTCGCCGTAACGGCATAACAGTCAGATACCAGCGACGGTATAATATCCACCCCCGCCGCGCGCACACACCGATACCGTCGTTGGGGATGCGTAAAAACGCCGCTCGTACATGCCGACGTATGTGCAGTCTATAATCGAGTTATGCACGCCGCATTTTTCCATCAGCTGCCTCTCCCGTCGATCAAAGTGCGCGCGGCCCGCGAGCCGCGGGTATACATAAAACGTTAGTAATGCATCCCGGTATATAAAATGCTGCTCGTTCGCGCAACGCGATACATCAAACGGTTTATAAATCAAAACTTATAAAAAATTTTTGCGTATACGATATTACGCCGGATATAACGCCGCGCGTTTCCAACGTTTACTATAACCAGAGCGCATTAACGCTCTCGATGTAACTTGCTCCTGGCAAAATGTTTTCGGCGAAAAAGTAATCGAGCCGATCATGGCCGATCGTTCGCTTCATTTGTCGCACGCTCATATGATAAAAAGTCAACTGCGTTCGAAAGTGTTATAATTAAAGCCCGGATGCGAGATTGTTAATGCGACGCGCCGCACGGCCGATCGCGCTGAGCACCGCTGAACGTTAAGCGAGTGGCAGCAATAAAGAGCTACGATTATCTCTCTCTCTTTCAATTGCTATCTCTTGCTCAACGATTAGTAACACTCAGTGCGAACAACAAAGCGGCGCACCGCATTGATGACCTCGAGTTTTAATTATAATAAATATCAATGCATATCATTTTCAGATTACAATCAAAAACTTATTTGTTGGGTAACTTGGTTAATAGAAGACCGAAGTGTAATTAAAGAATTAATCTTCTATGTCTTGATTAACTTTCTGATTTTAACTTCAATAATTCTTTAAGTCGCACGTCAGATGCTCTTAATCCAAGATCCCAAGTGCAAAGTTACAAGAAAGATATATAAGGTAAAAGCATCGAGAAAGATCATATTTGCTCACCAATTTTTTGATGTTTGTCGCTCGTTGTTGCTCACAAGAGACTCGCATAGTGATCGATGAAATTCCCGCATGTGGAAGGACGGATGGACAGCGGCAAGACTGAAAAATTACGCACGATATTAATAATCGAATAATATTTACTGTGTCGCATCGCGAAACTTGACGTGTGAGCGTCACCAGACTAACTGCCGTAGGCATCTAATTTTTAAATAATGTATGTATTCCTATGTTGACTGTGCGATACGCACTCTTATTAGTTCACGTAGAATATTTAGTGTAATGCGATGCATGCATGTCTAACTTCATCTTATGCATATTTTAAAGTAGAATGTTATTCAAATGAAATCTACAATTAAAATAAACCTACAAATATGAATTTTTATCTATCCATTTTTTCAATGCTTAATTTGCCAAACTGTTTTAGTTTTTATTTGCACATCAACTAAAAACCATCATGATTTTTCCTCATTTTTATAAATATTCTTAAGAATGTCTTAAATATTTTATAGAATATTAACTTCTTAGTTCACATAATTGTTTGAAAATTAATGAATAACGAAATAGATAAATATTATCAATATTATTTAAAGTGCAAGCTTTCTTTTCACAATATTGAATATTTTCGAAACAGTTACAATATCACTGCTTGGTACACATATCATTTTTAAGTTATGATTTGAAACCGTTATTGTTGATAAAACCGTTTAACTAAAATTGGAGCGCAATAAAAAAATTATTTCTCTTAATTAATTAATTTTGTATCTCAACATCGATGATTTTTTCTCTAAATATTTATGTGATCATATATAATTGCGTTCCTAATCAGAATGCGAGGTTATAAAAAAACCGAAAGAAATCATTATTTACTTACTAATTTTTCGTATTTATAAGTGACTTGCAGAATAACCGATGAAACTATCACGAAGAACGATGGATAGACAGCGACACACAAGACTGAAAAATCACACAGAGCATTAATAATAATCGAACTGTTTACTATATCACACCGCGAGGTTTCGACGAGCGTTGCCGGACTGAATGCAACATTTTTAAACGTAAATTTTTAATAATGTATTTTTTTTATGTTGGCTGCGATGTGCGATTACCATTGGCCCGCGCAAAAACGACGCGCTGCAATTCACGTTTAACTTCATCTTATTCATTGTTGAAATAATAATTGTTGGCAAATTTGTTTAATCGTAGACTCAAGCGCAATTAAGAAATTAAATCTAAGAGTTAACTAATTTTGTGGTACCAACTTCGAGGATTCTCTAAAGTCATGCTCCGCGTACTCTCAGATCGCGTGCCGTTTGTGCAAGATTATGAAAACATCGAAAAAGATCATATAAGAAAGCATATTTATTAACCAATTATGTTTATAGGAGACAAGCAGAGTTACTCAAGAGTTGCAGCATGCAGAAGGATGGTTAGACAGCGGCGAGATTGTGTAAAATCATATACGGTGTTAATAATCTAATTACTTACCACATTACGTTGTGACGTTTCGGCGAGCGTCACTAGACTGCCACGCAAGTATTTCATTAAAAATTGTACATTTTATGTTGGCTGCAACGCGCGCTCCTATTGGTTAGCTCAGAATATTCATTGCCCTACAATTGACATTAACTTCATCTTATACATTCTTATCATACGGAATATTCTCGAAAGTGTTACAATAAATATCATTGCTTGTTACACATTTTTGGATTATGATTAAATACTACCATTGTTATCAAATTTCTTTGATTGTAGACTCAAATGTAAGTAAAAAAATTAATTTTAGGATCTCGTAATTAACTTTTTAGTCTTAGTTCGGATATCTTTCTACATACATATGAAGTCTTACTCCGCCCTCGTCCAAACCGTTAATTGTGCAAGGTTATGAAACAGGAGATCTCGAAGAAGATTATTGTTTACTTACCATCTCTTACCAATTTTGATGTTCCAGGGCTCGTAAGATGACCGATGGAATTGCATCATGTTGAAGGATGAGCAGACAACAGTGAGTAATGAAAAGATCATGCATTAACAATCAAGACACTTGTATCACCGTCAACAAGTTTTGGCGGGCATCGACTACTAATTACTGTAACTAGCAAAATTTGAATTTATCAAGGTATGTTCATTGTGGCGCGTGCTCCTATTGGTTCGCACTAAATTATAAGTGTTGCCAGACTGATTATTGTAGGCAACATAAGAATATATAATTTTTTTAATTATGCATTTGTATGTTGGCTGCTCGTATGACGCGTGCTTCTATTGGTTCTCGCCTTAAAATATTTATAGCGCCATGATCGCGTTGAATTCGCACTTCATGTTGTATATTGTACGTAATTAGATTACAAAGTGAAACATTTTTACCGGAAACTTCACTTGAGATCAATTGGAAAACAAGGTTTGTTATTATTTATTTATCTTCTTAATGCATAGCTTACAAAATACTTTACCTTTTGATCGATCAATGATTTGGAAACTTAATTCTTCATTTGTGCATGTTCAGCGTCTTGTCATTGACATTTTTCTAGGTTATGTTTCCAAAATATCAGTTATGGGAGTTTATGTACGTTATATTCAAGAAATGTTTTATTCTTTAAACGAAATATCAGACACTGTGTGTAGAGTAGACGCTTATAATAACTAGCTGCTTTATATTTTTGCAGATGTAATCTTATGCACATTTTGTCGGCGGATGTTGATAACCTAAATAGTAATTTTTGGTAAATGGCGTATTATCTCGAGAAAGTGAAACGAAATCGGATAAAGAGAGCACCGGCATCGTCGGCTCGAAGAGTAACAAGGTTTCCCTCGGTTAGTTAATCCGCCGCGGATTGGATCGCGCGAAAACACGCGCACTAACGCGGTTTTCGGCGCGCTCTCGCCCTCCACCCTCTCTCGCCGCCGAAAGTAGCGGAACTGTCCGGTGTCAGCGACACTCTGATCGTTCCACCGTTTCACTTTCGATGGAAAAATACGAACTGCTACTGTATCTAGCAGTCAGTATTTTGGCGCAAACCCGATCTAATTCTTTCTGCAATCTGCGGCTCTTTTCAACTTCTAGTTGCTTCAAGTTTTCGATGCGTTGATTAATTTTGTGTCTTGTAGCAAATAAAGCGTTTAGAATCATAATTTTTAACCGTTCTATCATATTTTGCTTTTATTTTTCTTCAATTTTATTCAACATCTAGAAATTATTAATAAGTTTTATGCTTTATTTTAACTTGCGATACATTTATCAACATATTTAATTAAAAAATTTCCAAAGTCGTAAAAAATAATAGCGTTTAATCAAAATTTTGTAAAGGAATGGTTCGATTTTTACTGTTACTGCATATTTTATATTAAAACTTTGTATTAAAATTAAATTAAATCTCAATTAATTAATTAATTATGATATGTTTACTAGTATTTTGCAATGAAAGAATATAAAATTTAGATTACTATTTATTTGTTACATATTTTATATATAACATAATAACGCCTTTCTTATGCAAATGAATAGAACGATCCTATTCAGTGGATGATTCCAAGCTTATTGTTTATGTTACATTACGGGTGCGACGGATTGTCGACGGCAACCGGAAATATTTACAGGACGCCCTTCGAGCACGAGTGCCGTCCTATCATTATTGGCCGCTTTGCCGGATTTGTCGAAAGCGATCCGGCACGTGTCAAGTGATCATTACGCCCCCGATCATTAAGAACACACCCCTCGTGTTTATATCGCAGCACATTTCCGCACTGCATCTCTGCCATTGTTGCTTTAAGACAATTATTGACAATTCTTAACATATCAAGTGCTAATTTAAAAATATTTTGCTTAAAACCACGTTGTTAGAACTTTGAAAAACAGAGGTGAAATATTCGTTCAAATAATACGATAACTTTTTCTAATCGAAAACGTAATTTTGATTTTAGATACAGCAGGCGAGAACTCAGCATGAGGAACCCAAAATTTCTCTATCGACTGGCACAGGTCCACGTAAACCGACGAATAGCTCGCGCCAGCTGATGAGGCGGAAGGCACCTAAAGAGATAAAGCGGCGAAACGGAGGGACGAGACACAGAGGGATGCCTTCAGATGGGAGGAGTGAAGCAGCATAGTAAGAAGCGTAGGATGGCAAGACGGGAGAAGCGAGAGGGACGAGAGAAATCAACTTTTATTTGCCCGGAACGTCGTTAGGGGTAAGTGGAGGACCGAAGGGTGGCCGGACGTAATGGCGCCCTCAACCCAACCTCGGCTCTTGCCTTCCGGTATCCGTAGCATGTCTATCGTGCCTTTTCATCCTGCTCGCCCCGTCGTCCCCCCTTTTTATCTCTCGATTCGTGAAACTCCCGCGTGTCTCTGTCCGCCTATCTATTGGCGAGTATTCGCCCGTTATCGAATTGGCGATGTCTCGGCCGCGACTTTCGCCGGGAATAAAGTGTCGCCGGATCTTGATAGATAAAATTGCCGAATCAAAATATTTCTTAAAATTTCGAGTCTTTTAAATAACAGCTGACGTTAAAATGTGTCTTCCGTCAGGGACACGGTTAGTTCTGTCTGACTCACGTGTGATTTTATCTACTTAAAGATATACTTTCCCAAATCGCGCCGAATTATAAGTTGCGAGCTGCACATTTTAATTGATGGAATTTAATTTAATTTTGATGCCGTATTTATCACCGCCAAATGCATTCTAACACAAGCTTTATTGAAGAGCCATGATGCTTGCGGTCACAATTCAATAGACCGTGGAAGAAGCGATTAATTCTCGAATGACACCGCGATAACTCCGACCCTGATTCCCGACCAGACATATTACCATCACAATGGCGCACGTCGAGTGGCACGAAAAGAAGGGTGGGCGGGACGACGAGATTGCGACGTCCGGCGTCCCGACGCCCCGAAATGCCACCACTCTTTTCCACTTCTCTCGTCCGCGACGCCCAGTCGATTACCCCGACGTACCCCAAATGCATTTGACTTAACCGTATCTGCTGGCGAAATGGATTTCGTACGTTTGTCCGTGCGTCACATAATCTGCAAAGATTCACAGGGAAAAAGAAGTATGATATTTCGCTAGAAGGAAGAGGTGTAAAATACTTATCAGATCCTTTATTCCTAAATTAAAATAAAGTAAGATTTTATATTTCGGCATAGTTGAGTTTTTCAAATCAAATTTTTTACATGTAACACAGATTCGTGGACAAGTAACAAGACTTTAAAGCGGGGTTTCGTTGTTTTCTCGCGAATAATCAATTCATTGCGATCCCTTTTCTCGACGCTCTCCACGATCTTATGACCCGCGTAAGCTTAACACGGTAAATTTAGCGCGTTAGACACACTCGGTAAAAGCTAACCGAGTGCTCGGTCGACAGCAACTTCTCCGTTCGTCATCCGCATGGTCACGTGCCGTCTGCTTCGCGTGCGTATACACATTTAATAGCTGTTGGGACATTATGTCGAAAACCCTCCCGCAACGCCGGCGCTAGCGCGGGGTCCTTTGTGTATAAAATAAGACGTTCTCCCATCCGTAGCGGAAGAACGGGAGGAACGAGAAAAGGACGGAACTTGTGCGGGCGAGAGGGGACGAGAGAGGGATGGCTCGGCAGATATTACGACGAGTAGCTCCAACCCCAGACTTCCGTCGTGATAAATTAACAGTAGCTTACGACGCTTCGTGCCTCTTTGTCGAAGAGCGAAGGCGTCGCGGAAATGCTCGATCGGCACTGATGATAATCAGCCATTGATCTTTGTTGAGAAATGTGATTTGAAAAATCCGCGTGCTCTAAGTATAAAATCTTTTTACTTTAAGAATAAAAAATTGTACAAGCACTCTTTCTTCTTTCTGGCGAAATATTATTTTTCTACTCTTTTAATGGGTTTGCAGAAATTAATTACACGAGATGTTCCGGTTTTTGCAATTAGTCAAACATTTTTTCTTGACGCGGTTTTCAAATTTATTTTATAAGTAGAAAATTTAATAAGTCAAAATGTAAGGTATTAAAAAAATAGATACACGAAAGGGTCGAGGATGCAACAGTGAGAGAAATAATTTTTGTTTCTTCGTCATAGTCGCTTAATTTTAAAGAGAAGTACATAAAGATATTTTCTTTAACGCTGTGTAAGCCGAGGAGGCGGATTTCTGGACAATCTGACCGCGGGAACAACGCAAAGTAACGAGATTTCACCCAAGGGATGCGAAAAACAGTGCGCCGAGTCCCGCGGCGAGGCAAGCGGCGTAGGTAGCTTCAACGTGTAACAAGCGATTACTTATTTAACGAGGGGTAAGGCGCAGCCCGTGCGCGCCGCAATACGAAATTTCAATAGACCACACGTGAGAATTCGCGGTAATGTAACCTCATCAGAAAATGTAACGGGGTGAACCAGCCGCGCGACTAGATAATAATAAACGCGCGTCGGGGATTGGAGAAACGAGGGACCTGGCCCGTGTGTGCTTGAACGTATGCGCACACAATGGTTCCCATTAATGAACGGGGATTCTGACTCGAGCCATTATCACCGATCCGTTATCATCGTAATTTCTTACCGCGAATGAGTCGGTTCTAAAACATTTATAATATTGCACCAATTTATTTATATCGATAACAATAGCGCGTTAAGAATTTCAACTTTACTGACTTTTCGCAATTATTTAAATCACGCTTGAAGTATTCAAATCATGAATTTGAATTTTTCAGATTATCCAAGTGAAAGAGATAATTAGATATATTCTAGTGAAATTTTCTTCAATAAAAATTAATCTTACACAACAAGAAATATTTGACACGATAAAAGTAGTAATTTTTTTGCATCTTAATCTTTTATATAATTTTTTCAAGTGTACAATATTTTTATTTTTTTAGCTACACGACATTTATTCAAAAAAGAACTTTCGTGTATCGCAGTCGAGAGATTAAACGACTGTACCGCATTACTATTGTAAGAGCACCCACCAGCGACACCATCAACGATCAGCAGTGTACGGCCGCGTGTCGTGTAAAGTAGCGGCAGCAGCGAGGGTAAC